CCCTGACCTTCTTTCTTTCTGTCAATGACACTTCTGTGTAGACTTTCAGGCCCCAAACTGTGAAGTCACTCTTGACATGTCCCATCTCTTCATCACCCAATCCATAGATAGTCCTGTCAATTCTACCTCCAACTCACATTTTTAATCTGCCCATATATTTTTATATCCATGGCCGCTAATATAGTTCAGATCTATTTGTTCTTAAGGGACCGTTGTGTCAAATTCTTACATAAACTCCCAGTTTCCACTTTTGTTCCCCACTCAGCTCCACACAGCAGAGTATTTTTAACACAGCATACCATGTCACAATACCTCCCTTAAAAATAAAATCAGAACCCCTCATTAGCTTCTCACTTTATTTATTCTCTGTGTGATCTGGCTGCCGTCGCCCTTATTGACCTCACCCCTCACTCTCCATCAAATCTCCCTTGAGTGTATATTCAACTTACACTGTGTTCTCTACTCTCCCACTGCAACAAATTTGTTTCTACCTCAGGTCCTTTGCATGAGCTCTTCCTCCTGCCTAGCCCTTCTCCTTGCATGAAATGCTCATCTCCTGATCGTTACTGGCTCCTTCTTGACAGTCTTGGTCCCACTGGCACTACCTCTAATCAGTCTATATGATGTTGCTTCATATCCCAGTCACTCTTTATCATAAACTATAGCCTTTGTCATCTGGTACCACAATGTTTATTTGTTTTGTTTTACTTGTCTGTTCCTCTCACTGTTATCTAAGCTCTGCAACAGCAGGGAACTTACCTGTTGCATTCACCATTACATCTCATTGCTAAGAGCAAGACTTGGAAAGTAGGATCTTATAAATGTCTGTGAAATAAACAAATTACTTATTATACCTCCCCTAGCACTTATCACAATCTAATATATGGTACATTTTATCTTGTTTATCATCTTTCTCCCTCATTAGAATGTACATTCCTCATGGGCAATGTTTTTTATATTTTTCTCTGCTCTACACTCAAGCATCTAGAATAGTGTCTGGCACATAATAGCACTCAGTAAATATTTGCTGAATGAATGAATAAAACGTTAGCTATTTGTATAGGTCCAAATGTCAGGACAAAAAAGAATAGTACAAGGTAAGAAAATTTATAGCCATATGATTACAAATTTATTGTACATAATAGAGTGGATTTGTTTCTGAAAAAGTGTCAGACTGATGTTTATAAATCAAAATATTTAAAGCGTGCTAGCAAGATTTCTATTTCAAAGAACGTGCGATTGGTCCTCTGTATAAAATGGGGGACTTATAAAAATAATTTCAGTCATTTCTCCTAATATATCCTTATAAGTTAAATATTTTATTTATTTTTGAGAGAGAGAGAGAGTGTGTGTGTGTGCGCGTGTGTGTGCATGCGTGCAAACGTGTGTGCAGGAACAGGAACAGGGCAGAGAGAGAGAGAGAGAGAGAGAGAGAGAGAGAGAGACTCTCAAGCAGGCTCTGCACTGTCAGTACAGAGCCAGATGTGGGGCTCAAACTTACGAACTGTGAGATCATAACCTGAGCCGAAGCCTGAGAGTAGGACGCTTAACTGACTTAGCCACCCAGGCTCCCTATAAGTAAAATATTTTGTCAAATTCCCTTATTTCAAAATATGCTTATCTATAATACGTAAAAACAAGCAGAAAACAGGTAGCTTTTGAAATTTATACTAGCCCATGTTAATTCTGGAATAAAGTAGCAAGAAACCTAAAGGAAATGCTAAACACATTAGTGAGACACTTAAGTTACTCTACATAGATTTATCTTCCCTACATCCCTCACCCACACCCACAAAACCAGGGAAGATCATGAACAACCTAGCATATTTTCAAAAGGCCCTGGAGGGGGCAGTATTGCCCCCACTGAGAACCACAGCTCTATTGATGGAGCACAACTCTGAGATACTTCCTCCCTCTTCTATTCCCTTTGTCGTTTTGGACCTCATCTCCTCTGACTGTAGTACAGGATGGAAGAAGAAGTAGAGAAGTAAGAAGAAGAAGTAAAAAGGCAAATATCTTCTACTAGGGTATGTTTCTCCCCTGAGTTAGCCGCAAATTGCTACCTTAGCTTGTCGCTTTGTGTCTTCTGTCCTTCCCTTTTATATTCTGGAGGAGGTGGGGTGAGTAATAGGTGAGCTTGATAGTAGGGCCAGTTACAAGATCTTAGGACTTTCCATAGACAGGTGACCCAACTTCAAAGCTTTGAATATGAGTGGCCCAGGTATGGAGGGAGGGGGTAGATATGGCAGGGTGAGCTTACTGCCCTTTGTTTTCAATTTTGTGCTTTCTTTCTGTGTAATTTTAGGGTATGAAAAACAAATCTATTCTTTTACACTAATCGGGAAAAGAGTAACAAAGTGCGCTGAAAACCAAAAACAAAAACAAAGATAAGTATGCTGGAGTTGAAAATACCCCAGACCAGTAAACAAACACTTGTGCTATAACCCCAGCTCTATTGCCATGGATTGTATGATTTGGGGCACTTCAGTTCTCTGGACCACATTTGCTTCATCTGTAAAATGGGAGAAGGGATGATTAGATGTTGCTGTATCTGAATTCTTTTAAACCCTTCAGTGCAACTCTGAGCCTTTGGACTACACACAGGCAATATACACTGCCCTTCTCTGTGTGTCTGGGTGTCCTTGAGGGAGGTTAGAGTTTTGATCCTTGCTCTTTGAGTTTTCTCATGCAAGTCCTATGGCATCAAATTTTGCAAGCATACTCACATTTTCTTAGATTTACCTCTACCAAAGCAAATGTGTTTTACCTTAAATATTATTAAAATTGGGGTGCCTGGGTGGCTCAGTCTGTTGGGTGGCTGACTTCTGCTCAAGTCATGATCTCACAGTTCATAGGTTTGAGCCCCATGTCGGCTCTGTGCTGACAGCTCGGAGCTTGGAGCCTCCTTCAGATTCTGTGTCTTCCTCTCTCTCTGCCCTTCCCCTGCTCGTGCTCTGTCTCTCTCTCTCAAAAATAAAGAAATGTGAAAAAAAATTAAAAGAATATTATTAAAATGGTGAATCACAGCAGTTTAGAGTTGGGAGATCATTTGTTAATAAAGTTAGATACTTTACATGTTTCTATGTGTCTAGGTGAATATTTACGATGTAGGTTGCAAGTGACTTTTTCAACTCTTCATGATTCCCTTTTATATATTGAACAATGCAGGAGAAAGGACGTAAAAGTTATGAAAGATATGAATACTCTTCTAAAGCTCCTTATAACCCATTGTGCCTTAGATTTTTTAGAAGCAGAGCCCAAGGCAGAGATCTTTGTCCAAGTGACTTATCAAGGGTGAGCTCTCAGGAAAAGCCTCTGAAGGAGGGCAGAAAGCATGAATGAGTCAGAAGTTAAGCAAAGTTGTAGTTTCAGAGTCTAGCTGATCCTGATGCAATGGGGGCTCTGGAAGGTTCTCAATCATAAGGTTGTTCAGCCCAGAGGCAAGTAGTCTGAGCTATTAGAACCTCACTTTAGCCAGCCATGTGCTACAGGGGCCAGCTGAAAGTATAGTCTCCCAGACATCAGCTGAAGTGATTTCCATCATCCAAGAACAAACTTATGCAGAAGGCTTGCCCTTGGCAGTCAACACCTGCAGGTGTTGGGGAGATGAATATCCCATCCTGGAAAGAGGAATCTAGGCAGGGCACCAACGGTATCTGCTATGCATGATATTAAATGAATGAAATCATGTCCACATGATATCCTTTAAAAGCACTTATAAAGCTACCTATCAGCAAATGACATGTAAGGTAAGCACAGTTTGAAAATCTGGAAGTACAGGAGGTATAGTGTACTAACCAGCTAACATGTACTGAACACTAGCTCCGTACTACATACTCTTTGTAGTCTTTAGTCCTTTCAAGAAATCTACAATGTAGGTAATAATATTGTTCCTATTTCCTGAGAAACTGAGGCACAGAGAGTTAAGTAACATGATCAGGACCACACACATATCAAGAGCCAATGAGTGATTATTTCATTGGCAAAAATACTGTAGGGATTCTCTAGAACAGAGAAAATGAAGTTCTAAACCCTGTTCCAAATCAAAACCTCTTAGATTGGGCTTATATTTTAAGGAGCCCTAAAGTGAATTTTTTTATGCACTGTGTCACAGCCATTGCCAAATGGAATTAGTTTTCCAAAATGGAGAAAAGTTGTGCAAAGGCCAGTGTCAACAGCTAAAAATGAACAGCAGAGGTAGATACACTTTTGAATGGTTATAGATAGTCTGAATGTATTGAGAAGGAAGGGGAGAATAAACTTGAGCATGGGCTCTTGAATACTAAGCAGTAATTACATAGGAAGGAATAAACTTTTTGTTGTCATATTGTTTCTTAAAATAAGAACAGAATAGCAAAAGTAAAAAGTATGGGAAACATTGACTTGGGTACTGATAGAATGTTCTTTTCTATATTTGTGCTGGGACTTGTTCCTAAAAACACGCTAAAATGTCTGTTTCCAGATGCCTGCGTGAGTCCATCAGTTAAGCATTGGACTCTTCGTTTTGGCTCAAGTCATGATCTCATGGTTTCATGAGTTTGAGCTCCTCATTGGGCTCTGAGCTGACAGTATGGAGCCTGCCTGGGAGTCTCCTCTCTCTCTATCTGCTCCTCCCCCACTCACATGGTTTCTCTCAGAAAAAAAAAAAAAAAGAAAAAGAAAAAAAAACAACTTAAAAAAATAAATAAAATGCCAATTTTCCAGAGAAGAACAGTCTTTTATAAGACTGAGAAGGGAAATGATATTCCCTGAAAGGTTTTAGAAATGATAACACTGTATAAGCACAAAGAAGTAAGTTAATTTCTGATAAATTATTAGCAGAATTTTTTTATGTAGATGTACAATGTTCGCTAAAATAGCAGGTGACCTGAATATGTCCACGTTCATAAACCTATATGTCATTATAAAAATTGGGCCAGGGAGACAAAGAAGAAAAAGAGAGGACCAAAAAAGGTGAGATTTTAAGTGATGCCACTTGGCTACAATGAAATATTTTCCAGACCGTTGCGTACGGGTACCACCATCTTCCCCCTTGCCCACTGATCTAATCAATGAGAAGAGATTGCTGAGAGTGCAGAAGACCCTTCTTCTGTGATGTGCATCCTCAATAGATCAGACCCACTATGCGACCTTTAACCTGCTACATCTGCTCAGCATTGCTATCAATGCATTGTGACAGTTACACACACTTCCAGGTATTGTTTAGCGTAACATGCTAGTTTGTTTTTGATTAATAAAATTGTTTGCTGTGTTTCTGCTCTATTGGTTCATAGTTCAATCTATTATTTATAAAGACCTCATAATAACAGTTTCTGTATGGTTCTCTGTTAATACCAGATTAAGCACTCTAGCGATTTAGGGGATTAATGGGCAGTCCTCAAAATGACCTCAAACTAATTTAAATGGCATTAATCATAGGGTGGAGGGCTTTGGTGTTGGAGATGAAGGTTGGAAACCCAAATTTTTAAATTGTGTCAAAAAACAGGGAAAAAGAGAGGCTCTGAGTGTTTAAGATCACAGAAGATTAAACTGACCTCTCCCCACAAGCTTACGAGCAGGTGTTTAGAATCCAATGCTTGGTTTAATCATATTAGTGAAGATTATAAAGGAGCTTTAAAATTGCAAGGCCAGCATGCAGTGCTAGAATTGTTCAGAGAGCGTTCGTAAGAAATCCATTATCACAGAAAACTAAAACAAAGGAAGAGTTCACTTAGTAAGTGAAGAGCGGAGGGAAGGGTTGGCTAACATTGGCTGGACTCAAGGCTGGCAGTTCAGGTGTACAAACTGTCTATTTTTTCAACAGGCAAAAGATGCCAGTCATCAATATTGAGGACCTAACAGAAAAGGACAAATTGAAGATGGAAGTCGACCAGCTCAAGAAAGAAGTAACGCTGGAAAGAATGCTGGTAAACTGCTGCTTTCTTTGGAATTTTATTTTAAGCTGTAGATATGGCATTACTACCACCAGGTCAGAAACCGTTGCAGGGGAGCAAAATTTTCTATCCCAAAATATGTTCCTTTGGCATTAGTATTATTTTAGGCTGATTATTTTTAAGAAACAGGAGATAGTAGAGAAGCTCTGGAAACGAAGTACAAGTTGCCCCTTTGTAAGAGACGTTTACAGTTATAAGAGATGTCTCCGTTTGTAAGGGTGTCTTGTGTGTAGCAGGAAGAGAAGGCATTTAGAGATTTAGGATTTAGAGGAGACTCTAAATTACTAGAAACTCTTATCAGTAGAGAAGGCAAGAACTTAAATTCACTTGATTTAAGTGGGTTTTTGATGACTGGTTTTCCTCACGAAACCTCCCGTGACTGGCTTTTCCCCCACATCCCCCCGACATCTTTTGTCTTCAGCTGGAGATGGTATTTAAAGGGGTGTCTTAGGTCATTTTGGTGAGGTTATTTGGTTCTTCTGGGCCTCTCCCATGTATACAGGAGGTACACATTATTAAATTTCTGTGTGTTTTTCTCCTGTTAATCTGCCTTTTTTATTACAGGGGTGTCTCAGCCAAGAACCTAAAAGAACAGAGGGGAAATTATTTGTCCTCTCTCATATCGTTTACTGGAGAAGCTCAATGTAGTTAAAAATAAGCTGTTCAGGTAAAAAAATCATCAGAGATTAAGAAAGTTAGTAATCATAATTATCTCTTGACTAGACTGTAAATCAAAGATTTGGCAAACTATTTTTCATGGGCCAAATCCAGTCCTTAGCCCATTTTTGTATGACCACTAAGCTAAAAAATGTTTTTCTACATTTTTATGGAGTTTTTTTAAAAATGAAGGAAAGAAAGAAAGAGGAAGAAAGAATGAAAATGAGACAGAGACCATATTTTAGCTAAGAAGTAAAGTGAAGCAATGCATACAAGCATTTTATTTTTACTTTTCTAAATTGATAAGATTTTCTTTTTGTTTAATACAGTAGTTTGATGTTTAAATACTTTTAGCCAAGACCTCATCCCTTCCAGCACTGTCATGGCTAGTAATGAAGAAGTACATTCTATTCCTTCTTTGCAAACAAAAATGAGTTCAAGCATAAGAACTCACTCGTTCCTCCTAAAAACATCTGACAGATCTTGGAAATGGTTCCCAAGAGTTCTCTGCTGTTAAAAGGGCCAGAAATGACAAAGGAATAGAAGTTTCCTCCGAACAAACAGTGACCGAAGCTTGGAAGATGTAGTTATGTATTTTAGATATCTTCATTTTAGGAAAGTAAGTAGAACAAACACTCCTGCATGAGTAATAAGAGTATATTTTATATTTTTTCAAAAATTTATTTTATCAAGCCAGCGCAACAAAAAGGGAGGGGAGTAGTTTGCATTATCTTTGTACTTTGGTCAAAATTCTTACTCCCAACAAAGATTGAAATTTTGGGTTTTTTCCCCTTTGTAATTGTCTCAAACTCCCCTGTTGCCCTTTCCATACTAGCAAGATGTATTTTGTTGTTAAAATAATTAACGTTATAAACAGCACAAAAAGTTTGTAGCTCACAACAAAAAAGTTAAAATCTTTATAATTTAGGGAAAAAAAAACTTTTGGCATAAAGGGAAGTGTTTTTTTTTTCTTACCTGAAACATCCAAAAGCTGTTTGATTATTTATATCCTCAGGATTGTTGTTTTGAAGGCAATTTGGTTGTATTCATGTTTATCATTCACTTGTGGCAAGCCCACCTGGGAATTTTTTTTTTTGGGGGGGTAATATCACATACATCCCACCATCTGTCAAGTTTGGGGGTTCCTTTTCCCTACTACTCAACATCTCCTCACTCTTGGAAGTCACACTAATTTAATACCAGACTGCTAAAACTACACACACACACACACACACACACACACACACACACACACACACAAATTTCAGGTCCTGACCCGACAGTTCTGATACAGGATGACATAGCATCTGTATAGTAGGGTCCAGTGGATAGATACTGGGACCACAACCCTAACTCAGAATCTGGCTCCTCAACTTTCTTTCTGTGGAACCTTCTCACCTGAGATATTTTCTGTAAAATGGGAATAGTAACAAAATCTAATTCAGAGGGCAATTGGGGGAATAAATGGGATAATATATATAAAGCTCTGAGAACAATACCTAGGACATAGCAAGTGCTTTCTACTATTATTACTACTTTTTCAATTATTATTGATGTCTGAGACCTAGACTGACTCATAATATACCTCAACCTATTTTGCTTTCTTGTCATAGTAAGACAACTACTTGCATCCCGTTTATAGAGCGGACAGATTTGCAGTGATTATATGTCAATGCAGTGGGCAAAGACTAAAGATAATCTTTGTGGTAATAGCTGAAAATAGCTGCCATTTGATTATCTGTTATATGCTGGGAACTTAATACAATTAGTGCTGTTGTTCCTATTTCATAGTGCAGTTACTAAACCTTAGATGAACTCTCCTAACTAAGCACCTATAGCGGTTAAGTGAGTAGAACCAAAATTCAAACCTGGAGTGGCCTGAATCAAGTGTTCATGCCTTCCATGACGCCATGTAATCCTATATTAAACTATCTATACTTACAACAAGCCCACTGAAATACATTTTGAACAACACACTCAGATGAGATTTGAGGGTAATTTATGGCTCCATATAGCCCCAGATCCCAGTGAGGCATTGTCAAAACCAGCCCCTCACTGACCCCAGAATTAGGACAGCAATTAAACCTCTATTCCTGACCCCTGATTGGGGCCCAAAAAGCTGGCGCTTGAAGAAGTGTTAAAAAAAAAAAAAAAAAAAAAAGAGGGGAAATCTAAATCTTCGTTTTGAGAAGGAAAAAAATATGAATCTAAATTACTGCATATTTTAAAATTGTATATAAACTCCAGCTGAAGGAGCCACTTGACCAAGGCCTTGCCCCAGTTAGGAATGATGTTTTCTAATCTGTACGTAATGAGTTTTCAGAGTTATAAAGTAATCTTAAGTCTCATATCTAATGTTGCTGGAAATTTACATATAAAAATAGCATAAGTATTTTACTAAAAAACACAATAGCTAGATAGCTTATGGAATGGCCACCTAATGGGCTGCTGGAAATGAAGTAGTTTCATGTTAATTTCATGAATGGTGTATTAAGTGAAAGGAAACAAGTTGAAAGTTAAAAGGAAAGAATAATTTGATCCTGTATATGCATGTATATACACACACATACAATTATATTTATATATGTTATAGAACATTGACTCTTTCTAAAAAGTATGTAAAATGTTACATGGATCATTCAGGCTCTGGCTGAGTCCATTAAAGTACTAAAGCCTGATTTTTCATGAACTTGTTACTATTATAGTACAGATGAGGGAAGAGGGAAGATCAATCTCATTAAAAAAAAAAAAACCTCTCAGTTCAACAAATACTTATTTATGGAGCGCCAACTATAAATGCAGTCTGTGCTCTAGATGCCTGGGATACACGTGAACAAATCAGACAAAGGTCCCTGACCCTTTGGAGCTCACCTTCTAATGTACTGTCATGATCAATCATTATAAATGAGCTTAAAATAAAATTACACATGTCTACTTCTGAGAATCCAGCAGTGGTGATAAGCCTGGAATTATTCATTCGCTTCCACCTTTACAAGTCACATTTTTAGAATGAGGAAAAGGATGTAATCAGTGCTCACTCTGGTGAGTAACACTGTTGGCTTTTGTTGCCAGCTGTTCTGATCAGTGAATCCTGTCTCCTTTAGAGAAGTTGGAGGCAGTGTCTACTGAGAGTGTGATCAGCTGATGTGTGATCAGCTGGAGTGTGATCACATGGTTATCCTTGGCTTGAAGATATCCAGGAGGTCAGGAAGGAAAGTAGCCACTCCTTCTTCTCTCCTAGAAAGTACATATACATTGGCAGAAAGCAGAGCCACATTTAAAAGAATACAAAAATTATAATCATTCTTGGATTCTGAAGCATTCTGTATTGACCCGAATGTGTCATTTCTTTCTCCTTTCCTTTAAGGTCTCCAAATGTTGTGAAGAAGTAAGGGATTATGTTGAAGAAAGATCTGGTGAAGATCCACTAGTAAAGGGTATCCCAGAGGACAAAAACCCCTTCAAGGAACTCAAAGGAGGCTGTGTGATTTCCTAAGGAAAAAAAAAAAAAAATCCTTGGAATATCTTGAGCTTTAATTGACAGTACTAATTTTCGGTCACATATAAGAATTCTATTAAGCATGTACGTAAACCTTTAAATTTATAAATATAAACTTTTAATAAAAATTGGGACGTGATAATGCATAAATCTGTTTTTCTTAAGGTATTTAGCATAGAATTTAACATATAATTGGCAGTGAATATTGATTGATCCCTTTCTTTAGCAGCAACTAGTGTTTCATGAGGCACCTGGGTGGCTCAGTTGGTTAAGTGACCAACTTCCCCTCAAATCATGATCTTGCAGTGCAGTTCCTGAGTTCAAGCACCACGTCGAGCTCTGTGCTGACAGCTCAGAGCCTGGAGCCTGCTTAGGACTCTGTGTCTTTCTCTTTCCCCTTTCTCTTTCCCCTTCCCCCACCTCCATTCTTGTTCTCTCTCCCTTTCTCTCAAAAATAAACATTCAAAAATTTTTTAAAAAATCAATAACTACTGTTTCATGAATGAGTCTATATTATTCTGGCTTCCAGCATATAGTTAATGTTTTATGTTTCTTAACTTTCAACAGTCCTAATAATTCCACCAGGAAATCACATGGTCAGCACTATATTTTTTCCAACCCCTTTCTCTTGCTTATAGAATTAGGATGTCTATTCTTTTGATTCACAGAGGATCGATGTTGACAGAATGTGTGCTATATTTTTGTTGTGTATGTTTTGTTTTCTGTTTTCCTTGCTGTCTCAACCCCTAGTCAGCAGTGATGGTTTTAATATAACCTCTTCCTATATTCATACCATTTTTACTTGTTACCATGATGTGACTTTTTACGAGAATACCAAATGGATTAAGAGTCAGTCTGTGGTCATGGAGCACAGTGGATTTAACCAGTGGATTCAATCAGTGCCAGAGTAAAGGTTATTAGAAGCCAGAGAGTTCTGGCTCTGGCGCTTTACTGCCTAAGTGACTTTGGATAAATTACTTAATCTTTCTAAATCTCAGTTTCTTCTACTGTAGGATAGGAATAATGGTTCTATCCTCTTTTAGTTAGGGCTTAAATATTACACTAGAATGATTACGGCAATTAGCATAACACCTGGTACACGGTAAGACCCAGTAAGTGTTAACTAGTATTGATAACACTAGTATTATATCTAGAAAGGAACTAGATACATATCTAGAATCCTTTAAGATAATGCTTTTCCCTCCCATCTCTAAGAAGATTCTCACCAGTATAGTTCTTTTTCCTATAGCACTGTTAAGAGCAAAATGGTAGAAAAGTAGCTATCTTCTGCATCATCTTCCTAATCAGTTTCCTCCTGCCATCTTACTGAGTTGACATAAGCCAAATTTCACTACCTTTGTGCTAATGACTAAAATAATTTGCCTCTGCTTTTATAACAAATGATAAGTGTTAATTACCCCAACTTGGAAACTACTTTTACTGTTAGTGTTTCCTTATGCTATCTCACATGTACTGTGTTAGTTTTGGATATATTAGTGATCAAAATCAGTGTTTTATTTTATTTATTTACTTAGAGACAGAGAGAGAGAGAGAGAGAGAGTGAGCATGAGCACGGGAGAACGGCAGGGGAAGAGAAAGAGAGAATCTTAAGCAGGATCTATGCTCAGCACAGAGCCTGACATGAGGCTCAGTCCCAGGACCCTGGGGTCACGACCTGAGCTGAAATAAAGATTTGGACGCTCAACTGACCAAGCCACCCAGGCTCCTTGATTGTCATCCATTTTAAAAACAAGACAAGAATGATCTATTATTTGGTCTGGAAGGAAATGTCAAGGTGGTCCCAAGTTTGGCTCCTAGCACACTGCTTTCCCACTCTGGTGGTAGTAAATGCTCAGCAAAGGTCTACTGACTCCTGTCAAACCATTTCATTTTGAAATGGCAGAAATCCAGGCTCAGAAAAGTGAAGTGGTGAGTTTCTCAGGTCCAGACTATGGATCTCTGGCCACATGGTTAACAACGCACTCTATCACATATAGGCATGGTTTGGGTATTAAGGGGTTCCAGGATAAACTATTGGACTTTCTTACCTTTTTCCTCAGCAGAAGCTCTTTCCCCCTATTTAAAATTACAAAACTCTTCTCTCTGCACCCCTTCAGCACTACCTGTCTTCCTGTTCACGCTATTTTCTTCCAAAGCTCCCACCAACCATCTAGCCTTCTATATATTTTACTTGTTTTACTTGTTTGATTGTGGTCTGTCTCCAGGATATTTCTAAGTGCACTTTAAAGTTTATTACGTGTTCCATTTATTTTTTTTTCCTGAATTAATAAAATATGGTCTTTGCTATGGCAATTAGGAACATGCATGGTCCTAACCAACATCTCTAACAACTGGAAATAGATCTGGGAGCCAGCTAAGTCTAAGTTAAAGTTTTGGTTGTCCACTTTCTACTTCAACTCTTTGAACATCATGAGTTGTTTTCATGTATACAATGAGAGAACAGGGTGGATTCTTATATGAAAATTTAAAATCACATAGAAGAGAGATGAGCATCTAGATAAAAACCTAACAAATGTCCTCTGTTGTAATAAGCCCTGGAGACTTCCTGTAGCCAACAAACATAACTATTAAATGACCCCTGACATGACACCCCATTTCCCCACTTTCTGCAGTTTTAGTCATATTGATCTCTCCACCTGAAATATCCCTCTTCTCTAACTTACTTCAGCCTTTTGAATCCTACTCCTTTCTGAGACTCACTAGAAACTATCTCCTCTGTCCCTCGCTCCATCCCAAGAGTATTCTGTAAATCTTTTAAACTCATTTAACATTGCTTTGCTTTCTCTTATTACAGTTTGTATGGTTGTCTTGATCTCCAGTCTGTATTATAAATTTCCCAAGCCAGAAGCTTTGATTATCATTGAAACTGCTGTACCAACTAATAAATTGTCTCTGCAATTTAATTGACTTAATAAGTGTTCAATTAAAAGCAGGAAAGAACAATACTTTTTATATTGGATAATTCAGAATTCTTATTAGCTTAATTAAGGAATAAATCGACAGTAGGATAACATTCCTGTCGCTTAAAAATACAGATTGTTAGAACATCTGGGTGGCTCAGTCGGTTAAGGATTTCACTCTTGGTTTTGGCTCACATCATCATCTCATGGTTTCGTGAGTTTGAGCCCCACGTCAGGCTTTGTGTTGACAGTGCAGAGCCTACTTGGGATTCTTTGGATCCTTCTCTCTCTGCTCCTTCCCCACTTGCACTGTTTCTGTCTCTCTTAAAATAAATAAGGAAACTTAAAAAAAAAATCAGATTGTCTGCAGAAGTTGGAATAAGATAAAAATCATAGAAAGAAAGGATAGAGAAAGATGGATTAGGAAGAAGGATGTGATAATCATGACTGTTCCCCAGGCTATACAACTACAATGGTGAGTGACTTTTTTTCCCCCAGAAGTTGTTATTTTAGGACCATGGATTACTAAGTAAAAAGGAATGATGTAAGATTACAGGGAAACAAAAGATACTCCAGGCACAGCCTTAGCATTTGGCCCTTCAACAAAACTTCCTGGTACCAGTAGTGAGAATGAGTTAAGTATACATATTTACTACAGTATACCATTTGAGATATTTGCACTTCGCGGGTATTTTGTACACGTAAGTGAGCTTAAGCTTTAGCAGGGAACAAAAACACACTGTTATCGTAATTTGGATTGATTTGAGTCAGATTTGAATACAAGGCTAATATCAAGCTTCCTAAATTCTTAAAATAATATTAACATGAGAAAAACAGTAAAATGAGTAATAAGAATGACCAATTAAACGGAAATTAAAGTCTTGTATAAGCAAAACTGATAAATAATTTTTGATATGAATTCTAAGTAGTAGTTAGGATAGTTGGAGCATCAGGGGCACTTGGGTGGCTCGGTTGGTTAAGCATCTGACTCTTTTTTCCTTTAAATTTTCTTTTTCTTTTTGAGAGACAGAGCATGAACAGGGCAGAGGTAGAGAAGGAGGGCGAGACCCCAAACACGCTGTGAGCTGTCAGCACAGAGCCCAAGGTGGGGCTTGATCTCACAAATCACGAGATCATGACCTGAGCCAAAATCAAGAGTCTGGCACTCAGTGGACTAAGCCACTCTGGTGCCTCTAGGTTTTGGCTCAAGTCATGATCTCAGATCGTGAGATCAAGCCCCATGACTGGCTCCATGCTGGGCGTGGAGCCTGCTTAAGATTCTCTCTCCCTCTGCCCCTCCCTAGTGCACTTGAGTGCTCTCTCTCTCTCTCAGAAAAATAAAAAAATAAAAATAATTGGAGCATCAGGCATAGGTCATCCTGTTACTTCATATTATCTCCATCTAGAAAAGGAAGCTTATGCACACAGTTGAATGGGTCAGTCTGTGAAATTTTCCATAGAATTGTTAATAAATTGGAGTAAAATAAAATAAACCAAGTGCATCAAATATTTGTTAAATACATTCCTTGAAGAAACCATCATCTTAATGGCTTAAGCAGTCACCATGAACTTTATAAATCCCAGAAGAGCAGAATTTGGGAAATAACCTAGTTTATTTACACTAACAAAACAGAGGCAGAAAGAAGCTATGTCTCGCAAAAAAAAAAAAAAAAAAAAAAAAAAAAAAAAAAAAAAAAAAAAAAAAAAAAAAAAAAAAAAAAAAAAAAAAGGTCAGAAGATAAAATAAGACCAGAATCCTGGTCTTTTTTTGAGTTCAATCTAGCATTAAACAAATTCCAATATAATACCCTTGATATTTTCTTTTTTCAAAAGTTTATTTATGCCTTTGTTACCCTTGATATTTTCTTATACAGTTTCCTTTATACGGATTTTTAACAACATATTTAATACAATCAGAAAAATAGCCAAAGATTTTTTTTTTTTGCATGTCAAGGTAAGTGTTTCATGTTCTTTTCTCTTTTATACTTTAAAAGTAGAAATAGGGGCACCTGGATGGCTTAGTTGGTAGAATTTGTGACTCTTGAACTCAGGATAATGGGTTCAAGCCCCATGTTGGGTGTAAAGGTTCAATAGATGATAGATAGATGATAGATAGATAGATAGATAGATAGGAAATAAACACATTTTTCTTAAGCAGTTTTCTTTAAAGCATTTTTCAGAAGATAAAGGGCTAATAAAAGTTACTTTATGATTATACTTGATATTTTCATTGCAGAATGGTTTGTACACATACTATTTTGTAAAAAAAAACTTTTATTAAGAGTAATATGTAAAATTAAAAAGCTAACATTACATTTGGATATAACTGATATGGATTTTAAAATCTGTTTATCCAAAAAGTTTTGTTGGTAGAACATTGCTTTGAGAATACAAAAGAAATTGCTTACCAAGGCTGCTGTCTAGGAGGTAAATTCCATGCTGAGGGATGGAGGCTACATGCTCTTCTAGAAAGTGTTCCCATCATCCTTCCATTTAAAGCCAAACTACAAGACATATTTCAGAATTTTGTGTGGTCATGGGATTTCTGCATTTCTCAATTCATTTTAGTTTAATCAACTTAATATGATATTAGGACTCGGCATTATTTTATAAGAATAAAAACTAAAAAAATGTAGACTAATATGTACTTCATCTCTAATTTAAGTTTAATAATACTGTGCAAGAAGTGAAAGAACCACTATGGTTTTATAAACATTTATCACTGCATGCAAGTTGATGATTTCATAGAAAAGAAATTTCCAGGCTAAAATAATTCTACTTCTATGATGTGGACCAGAAATACTTTAAGTTATTTAAACAACTTATTTAATTTGGGCCCTGAGTTTATTTAATTTGGGCCACGTTAACTACTTTCACTAACTTGTTTAAGTTATCTTTAAGCAACCTTTTAATCTGAGCAATGGGGAATCAGAAAATATGAATCGCTTTTGGAGACAGATGTGAGCTTTTTGTCTTGGCTCACTGCTTACCAACAGGGAGAAACTCTGGCAGCTGATCTGACTTCTTTGAGCCTGGGAGATCCTGGAATGTGTGGTATTCCAAATACAGAAAAAGAAGCTCCTAAACAGTTTTCTTTGTGAAAGTGGTTTATCAAACATGGATACATAAATACAATTGGAAACAAAACATACCTTGGCTAATCCACCTCTTCCCCGCTCCATCATATATTTTATAAATTAGAAAGCCAAAATCTGGAAAAAAATAGCACTTTTCCAGTGCTAGCCAGGGACAGAGCTGGAATTAGACCCAGAGAAATCACCAAGAAGCTCATTGTTCTTCTTGTTCCAATATATTCATTGAGGATAAGTGGGCGGAACGTAGAGAGAAATTATGAACAAAACCTCTGCTTACAAGATAGGGAGTGGCAATGGTGTCTCAGGTCCGGTGCCCTGAAAAATTCAGTTCATGCCACCACTCTTGAATACGGCTCTGTAGGCAGGAGGTGATGTCTCCAAATAGGGAAATATCTGACTGCCTGTAAAGGTTTCCTACTTAATGCTTTATTTTTCTTCTAGTCTATTGAGCATCGTTAAAAAGGCTTAGTTTATAATCAAAGGGAAGCCGTATATTGCAGGTAAGCATTTGTCACAACAGACACTTTTCCTGGCAGCAAGATGAATACTGCTTTCCAGATAGTGGAGAAACCAATACTCAGTGAATCCGCCGTATGTCCAGAAAGGTGCTGAAGCCAAGAATTCTAATTGTAGTATGTGTGCTGCCGAAGCCAGCACCTGAAGCCAGGAATTCAAGACCCTTGGTGTCAACAGTCACCCAAACCTTGACTGACAGAGAGTGGAGAAACACTTTCTGGTAAGAACGTTAAGACTGCTGCTTGTCTTCTCTAGTATCATCATCCCCGGGTCCTCCAAATCCTTACAAAACATTCCCGTGAAGAAAGAATAAAAGCTCTGCTGTGGAGGATGCAGACCATTGACTGTCACAAAATGGCCCTGCAAGTTGTAAACAATATTCACATCCCGATGCCCCCTTTGATCCCTACATGTGTAAATATGTATCAGGCATGTAACCAACTGGGTAGATGTCCATCAACAGACATGCTGGGTGTTTCTGAGATTACAGGTCAGTTTCACTTTCCTCTTGGGCCTTTTCTTGAGCGTTCGCATTTCCACAATACGCGTGTATATTAGCTGGGGGAAAGGAACACGCTGTATATTTTTGAAATTTGGGAGAGGTGAAGGGCCGTTATTTCCTGCCGGGTAGTGTCTTCCTTTTCTTGCTTCGCAAACAAACCCCGGATGTGACTTGGGAACGAAAAAAAAAAAGGAAAAAGCGAGAAAAGTAAAACTTTATAGTTGTTTCTCCAGGAAAGTGGGTTAGCGCAGCCCCAGTGGCTGCGGCCACAGCCCTGGCCAGTCCTGCGCGGGCGGGCGTGGCAGGGTCGGGAGCCGGCAGGGGGCCAGCACCCCGCTCAGAGATCTGGCAGCGCCGAGCGTCTCAGGCTCCCTCCCAACTCAGCCGTCCCCGGGCTCGCTGGGCCAGGCCACCCAGGGTCCTGGGGGCCGAGAGAAATCCTAGGACTCTGGGCAGGGCCGGCGAGGGGAGAAGACCCGGCAGCAGCCGAGCGCTCCGGCCTCTGGGGGCCTCCTCGGGGAGGCGGTCCTGTCCTGCGCCGGCGGGCGGGCGGGGTGCGCGGGCATCGCAGTTATTTGGGGACGCGCCCTGGTTTGCTGGACTTGCAGCCGCTCCACTTCCAGAGCAGTCCCCGGGCCCCAGCTCTGGGCGGAAAATGCCGGCCCTTCATATCGAAGATTTGCCAGAAAAGGAAAAGCTGAAGATGGAAGTTGAGCAACTGCGCAAAGAAGTGAAATTGCAGAGGCAACAGGTAAATTGACTGTCCCAGAATATTCCCTTCTCTGAAATGAACCAAGGGCAGTTTCGCCTGGTTTGTTACAGTAAAACAGCACAGCTTTTTTGTTCTTTGGTTTCTCCCCCCAACCTCCCAGCGTCTCTTAAACTGGGGCTTTGGTAGCACCTGGGAACTGCTAGTTGATGTGGGGAAATCACAGGACGTAAAGGAGAGCGCAAGGATCCCGTGAGTCATTTCAAGTCCACGGTCAGAGCATCCGAGCCTAGAAGGGGAGCCGTGGACAAAAAATTCTGCCTGCTCTTAGACATTGGTTTTAAAAACTCAAGTTACAGGAAGAAGGCAGATGGCTATTTTGTTCCTTAATCTTTTTCATAATGGGAAAGGATGGTATTTAAAGGTGTTGTTATTGTTTTTTTAATCACTATTTAATTCATCACAGTTTAGGTATTTGAATTATACAGTTTTGAATTTCACAAGGCCTCTCCAGAGGTATGCAATGAACACCTCACTGGGGCTTAAGAACAAAACCTTACAACTCCTATTTTTATTTATTTGTAACTCTCATCCCTTTATCCTTTCCACTTTGTTTTCGAAGTACACACCATGAATGAATACAGTATATCTGCATTTATTTATAAGTAAATATTTATAAATGTACTGAGGTGCATATAAAAATTGTTTTTAGTGGTCATGATTAAAAATTTTAGAGACCACTGAAGTAGATTACAAATTCAGTGAGAACATAGGCCTCAGTGTTCAGAAGTCTCCACTGAAATTTGACATTTGTTGGAGATTTTGTAAATTTACTTCAACTTCTTACTGGTAATATGAGCATGCATTTCTTCCGTTTTTCCTCAATCAGGCAACTTGTGGTCCAGTGATAGGTTTTAGGGTGGATATTTCTTAAAGGAAATGCTCTAGTCCTTTTTCCTCAGCTTAAAAAAAAATAATTTCATTTTTCTATGGCTTAATACTAGAAAAAATCAAGAAAAAAATGGAAATTAAGCAGGTATGGTGCATATGCTCGCTTGCTTTCCTGCTCTGCTTATGGTAAATCTGTTCATGACACAGTCCTGTTACTCATGATGAACATTTTGAGTGATATTGGAAGAGGCAGGTGTTTTTGAGTTTTAGTCTTTATGCATTTCTTTTCTCAAATCCTTATGCTTCCTAGATTTTGGAGTGCAAAGTTATTTCTATCCTTGTTGAAAGTTTTTGTAGCTTTGAAGATACTGCTGTGTTTAAAGGAAAAAAACAAAGTTATATGACCCAAACAATAGGGTACTTTCTTGAAACTTCAAGGGACCCATTTTGTGGATGGCAAAGTGCAGTATGTGTTGGCGACTTAGATTTTTTTCACACAATTCATCTTAGAGGTTACATACTAAACAGAGTCGCATATACTAAAGTAAAGCATTGTACAAAGTTGTAATATCCTAATAGCAAGAGTGTACAGAACTTATTGGAGAAAAAGCGACAAATGTCTCCTAGGTATTTTAAGCTTCAAATCAGAAATCGGGCAGGAGCCTGGATGCAGCTGACTGTGTGGAAATTAAAGGTGTCATTCATTAGCCTGTTCCTCCCTGCCAGCTCCTCACCTCCAAATCTTTAGGACACGCCCTGCTGGATCCATTTTCCAACTGCAAGTGTATGCCAAGGGGAAAGAAAACATGAGGGATAGCCTTAGGGGATACAGGGAGAGGCATCTAAATCCTAATAATAATATTCAAACATTATATACACTTTGAATTATAGAGTATTAGTGCTATGCAAACATTATGGTTCTTAGAGATCTTTTAGTGCTTTCACTTTTAAGGATAAAAAACTGAATCCCAAGGAGGCTAACTACCTTCTTATTTAAGACCTCAGAGATAATCATAGAGCACTTACTGAAACACGTGTGTTCTAATGCCCACTTCATTATTCTGTCAATAAATGGTTCATGTCTGAGCTGTGTGCTCTGCTCGGGCCAAGGACACAAAATTCACAGGCTGAACTCTGGCTCTAGCTAATTGTTCAAACCTGTCTTCTTGATCACGGAAGGAAATGCTCAGAGGAGTAATTACTCACTTTTGGAGGCTGCAGATCTCTTTGGAAACCTAATGAAGAAGTCTCTGTAAGAAAGATAAAATTTGCGGGAACTCTAATTCTATCCACAAATAGCTCTGGGCACACAGACCCCAGGTTATGGATACTTGTAACTGTACTTCTGACAATTCACATGAAATGCATGCACTGTAAACATCAGCAACAAATAAGAGTATTTGTTACCTGAGAGAATGGCACTTGAAAAGATGTTTATTTCACCACACATTTTAAGTCATATAACTATATCAGCTAGTTTTAAATTTTAGAACAGTGGTCTTCACATTGTGTGCAAAGACTCTTTGGGATATGGGAGTAAAATATTGCAATTTCTACTTTTGGGTAGATTTTACATCTCATCGTTTGACAATTTCCAGTTTGTGTTTTATAATTATGCATTATATATGAACACAGCATCTGTGCTTATTTATAAGTAAATAATTACATATTATTTATAATTATACACATTTGGGGATAATTATGCAAACATGTTTTAGTGATCACCATTAAAACAATTTGAAGATTACTAATCTAGCTTACAAACTCAATGGGAACAGTTTTTTAGGGTTAGGAAGTCTACATTAGAATTTGCTGGAGCTTTCATAATTTTTACTTCTAATTTCTTATTCTTAATGCGGGCCTTCATCAATTCCTTTCCTTTTTATTCATTTTTCTTTTTTTAAACTCATTCTTGCAACCTGTTTCTGAAGGATAGAGTTTCTGAGGAAAGTATTCAATCCTTGCTCCTTTGTGAAAAAGTTTCAACTAATTACATAAACACAAGAGTCTCCGATAAGCCTAATAAGCCTCAAATAAATCTGTTGTTATGATCATTGCCCTTAAGCAATGGGAAGGGATTCTGAATAGAGACACAAATGGTATGAATGGGCAACCTCAACCTTACCAGCATCAGGCCTTCTCCAATGTTTCTGTCATTTTGTAAAATTGCAGAACATGGCACACACTCATAATAAGTGAGAATTTTGGCAGGATACAGCCCAAAACATTTGGGAATTATCTATTACTGCACCTGCTCATTAGCATGGGAAATGGAAAGTGGGGTATGTTTCAGTTCCTAAAATATTATGGATACGCCATAATTGTATTTTAGCAGAGGCAGGAAATCATATGAGGCACAATGGACAGAAATTGATGGAGATGATCTGTTTAATATGGTGACTTTCAAACTTCTTGGCCCTCACCATAATGAGAAATATTGATTTTAGATTGCGTCATTCATATGTAGCGTATGTATTGTGCATGCTTTGTGCTAATATTTTCATATTATTTACTTTTTTAAAATGCTGGCTGTACTCAATTATATTAACTTCACTAAAGTGTAGATGATCCTTACCTAATTCATTCTCTTCTTTTTTTCTTAAGGTGTCTAAATGTTCTGAAGAAATAAAGAACTATATTGAAGAACGTTCTGGAGAGGATCCTCTTGTGAAAGGAATTCCAGAGGACAAGAATCCTTTTAAAGAGAAAGGCAGCTGTATTATTTCATAAATAACTCTGGAGAGAAATTTCATCCTCAATAGAAGAACTAGCTTGTTTCGGTTTTCTGAAATAAAACCAAAATTCTTTTCACAGAAAGAAAAACAAAATTTAAAGACTTTCTTAAATACTTATATTGATATGGTTATGTATAAAAGCTGTTTCTCATCTTTGCTCACTACACACCCTTTTTAAGAGGGCAGAGAGTATCAAACGTACAATTATGGGAATAAAGACATTACTTGTGCATGACTCACCTCTTTCAGTATTGCTTGATGACTTAAATAAAGTTTTATCTCTGGAAAATGACTGTTGGTGATTTAAAAAGCATTTTAGTTTTTGGGTTTTTAATTTTTTTTTTTTTTTTTTTTTTTTTGCATTTACTCTTGTATTTTTCCCCTTAACCTTTCGCATGTTTGGGATATGTATCAGAAGATTAAATGATTTGACAGATCAGGTCTCCAAGCCAGCCCTCTCTACTTCAAATTTCAGTTGGTTTACAGTGCTAAGTTCTGACTTCTGGAATGTATTTTATCTAATGGTAACTATTAGGGAACTGAGTGAGTAGAACTCCTAACACTGACAGGAGCTGGAGCCTCTGAGTCAGGAACCACATTAGTGCTTCCCAGGTTTATCATCATACAGATCCTGTTCAAAGTGCTGCTAAAATAGTGGCCTTGGGAAAGGGCCAGGTTTGGGCCACAGGAGACATACCAGGAGGTCAGCCCTGGTATGTCTTCTTCAGGGAGCCGTATCTCCCACAAGATCTGAAGGTCCTGGGCATGGCAACGCTCCAGCTCTATGGCATTGGCATGGACACTTGGCTCACCTACTTTTACCATTCTTTTCCAGCAAGCCCGGGCCAACCATACCACCTTTCCTTCTCTTCCAAAGGGACCAGTTAATCTTTCACCCTTTCACTTATTTTCCCCTTCGTCAACCTGTAGGCATTCGTCATATAGTTTGACCATTTAGCCTTTGTCAGTGATAGGTGTTGCTAACCTTCTCTAGTCCGTGGCTTAACATTTCATGGAAGGATGGTAGTTGCCACAGTTTTAACCCCTGGGTGCAATGCACCAAGGTACATGGTCCACTCAAGTTCTTTATGAAGGCACCCGTAGTACCGACCTTAAAGAAGGGAACCTTTTTACTTTGAGCATTTTTCCCCTCCCTCCCTCTGTTTTTTTTGAAAGGAAATTGGTCAAAGTTTGAGCCAAAAGAAAGACCAGCATAACCCTTACTGGTTAGTTGCAGTTCAAATGGGCTTAGTTCTTAACTTGCCCTGCAATTTTAAATGTGACACCAGAAGCCCAGGTTCTGCCTCTTGACAAGGTTTTGCCTCTTGCTTAGACCCATACCTTATCAAGCCAGAGAGGCGCCTGTGACCTCTAGCAGCTTCCTAAAACATAACAGCATCCTCACTCTGAAATTACTCTTCTTCCCTTCTCTGAGAAGGAACAGGAAGCCCCAGGCTTTTGAAAGAGCAAGTTAGGGCAAACCAAGAGCAGGGACTATTTCCTTCAGTTTCCTGCTGTTTTCCAAGTGTTGACGCCAGTTGGGATTACTGAGAGCCCATGGATAATTTTAGCCCAAAGCATGATCTACTCCAAGATGAGATTTAAGAACAGTAAAGGCATAATTTTTCCAACAGCCAAAGAGCAATTAGTACTGGAATGTCATTTCACATTTAAAGTGGCCTGAGATTTTACTAGTTTAGGGCTTGTGAAGTTTGGCTTTAACGGGCTGTTTGTTTCTCTCAAGTCATGGAGTTTTCTTGTGTTGCAGAGGAAACGAGCATCTATTCTTGTTCTTGGGAAGGCAGATCAGATCACCTGCTTCCTTGATGGAGGGCCAAGTCAACACATTTATCCTGTAACTTCTTGAGAATTGTGGATTACAAGGCTATCCATTTATGTAGACCTCCAAGTCCTCGCCTTGGCTTTTCGTGTACTTTCAGCCAGATGACAACTTAGCCCACTTCGGGTTTTTCCTTAACAAATCTCCAATCTTATAGATGTTTCCACTAAACCTAATTCTGTTCTTTTTTTCTTACTATTTCATCACAATAATTCAGCAAACATGTAGAAGTGTAATAAAATCCTCTTGATTTTCAAGTGTTCAACTGCTAAAAACGTATTAGCTTGCATTAGGAAGAAAATGAAAAATATAACAACTATATATTTGGGTTTATTATAAAAGTAACCTTTAGTGAGTTGGAATTTGTTAAGTAGAATTTAAATCATGTGTTCAATTTCTTCCAAGTATATAGTTGTGTTAATCATTTGGTATCTGATTAAATAGTGACTATGCTTTGTGTATGGAGACTCAGGTTCTTTGAACTCATTAAATTAGCAAAATTGGTTTTCCTATTTCTAGGCAGAATCTACATTACAAGCTCACTAGTGCTTGATATTTTAAGACAGTTTATTTTACATGTTAGATGCAAACTGGTATTTTGATACTTTCTAAATTTGCATTTCCTTGATTTCCTGTATTTTTATAGTGCGATTTCATGTGCCTTTTGACCACCTTCACCCATTTTAATGCCTCCAGCCCCCACCTCTTACAACTCCCTCTGTATCTATAAGCTTAGAGTGTTGCTGTTTTTAGATTCCACGAAAAAGTAAGATTATACACAGTATTTATCTTTCTCTGTCTGACTTACTTCACTTAGCATAATGCCCTCAAGGTCCATCCATGTTGTTGCAATGACAAGATTTCCTTCTATTGTTATAGCTGAATAATACTCCCATTTTGTGTATATATATTCCATCTAATTATATATTTTTATCCATTTGTCCATTGATGGACACTTAGATTGTTTCCGTATCTTGGCTGTTGTAAATAATGCTTCAATGAATATGGGGTTGCTGATGTCTTTACAAATTTGTGTTTTCCTTTTCTTCAGATAAATACCCAGAAGTGGAATTGTTGGTTCATATGGTAGTTCCATTTTCATTTTTTTAGTTTTTTGAGTTACTGTTTTTCATAGTGGCTGCGCCGATTTACATTTCCACCAACAGTGCACGGCTGCTTCCTTCTCCACATGCTCACCAGCACTTGCTATGTCTTGTCTTATTGATAAAAGCCATTTTAGCAGATACAAGGTGATAGCTCATTATGGTTTTTATTTGTATTTCCTTGATGATTAGTGATATTGAGCATCTTTTCATGTACCCATTTGTATCTGCTTTTATTTGTTTAAAGGAACATTGTAAGGTTATACAGGAAACCAATAGCAATGTTATAAAGTTTTGATTTTTGCACCCTGTAAATGTGTTATCCACTTTAAAAAGTAAAATTAATTTAAACATAACAAATAGAAGCAGGTTTTATATTTACTGTGTTTAGGCTTTGGTGAGTAAGTGTATTTTGCTATTATTAATGTCCTATGAATCAGAAATAAATTTGTATAGTTAACATGACCAATAGTATATTTTGGTCTATTCAGCTTATCCTGCCAAATAAGAGAAAAATATTAAGTCAGTAATGGTTATTACTTTATCATATTATATATAATATATAGTACTTTATCATTATATAATATATATTATATAAAAATATATATTTATAGTTATTATATTCCATTATATTCATTATTTATGAGTCTTAGAAGGATGCTAATCAATGAAAAATAACCCCCTATTTATAACAGTCTAGGAGAGCAGGGACTAATCAGAAGATCTCTCTCATTTAATAGAAAGGAGCAGGATGGTCATGGAAGGAAAGTGCTGTGGGATGTGTCCTGTTAAAATGAATCCTGATACCCTACTCTGTGTATCAGGCTGTCCTGACCAGGGAAGACCAGGGCATCATCAGCACCTCCTCCACCTGGGGTATGTTCAGTCTGAGGAGATGGATCCGCAGACTATTCAAAACCGTCCACTGGCACTAGGAGAATGTAGAGACTCATTAATGCCATTTCTTCCTTTTCCTTTCGGTCCACACGTACACTAAGTGATGACCTTCTTTGTAAACCTGACATTAAAGAGTACCTAACTTTATCAAACATGAAAATAGGCAGGGGGATTAAAATAGGTGAATTATAAACTTCAGAAATTGACCTTGAAGGTATTGTGCAAAAATTACACTTAAAATGAAAGGAAAAGATCTTTGTAAAATTAACTGTCATGAAAAATGATTCACGTTGGCATATATAAAAATGTATGCATTTATTTATTCAAAACCAAAAATATTTGGAGCTCTCTCTATGTGCCAGGTGTTGGTTTAGGCCCAAGGGATATCGTGGTGAATTAGATAAAGTCCTTAACATCATGGAATTTACAGAAATTATAATTAATCAGATGTAGGTGGAAGTTACAGAGTATATTATGATGTATAGGTTAGAATAAATAGGAAGTGTTTTTTTCAACTTTTTAATGATGATCTGTTGATGGCATCATGGTGATGATGATAGCTTACACAAATGAAGTGCTTAATATTTTGGGGGCATTGGAGTAAGCCTTTTAACATAGATTATGTCTTTTAATTCTCACAAGTACCTTATATATGGGGAAAATAAAATACACAAAGTCACAGAGCTACTGTAACTGATAACTGGCAACACAGACCGTGCCTTAAACAATATGCAGTATGGCCTCTCTTATACAAGCCAATATATGTGCAGAGTGAAGAGGACTCTTAGCTCAATCATTTTCTGAAGTCGTTTTTGGCACGTGTATAGCCAGCTTCTATCACCGTAGAAATATTTAGCCCTGATGTATGACATAGCACTTTATAGTAGCTTATTTCAGTTGGTTTTACTGGTTGGCTTGTTGGTTGGTGGGTTGGTTGGCTGGCTTCCTGTAATCACAGCCTAATATAAACATGTTAACCAGTACCAAGTCGGTGAATTTTGCTTTCTTAGTAAAAATCATATCACACCCTAAATTTTTATAACAGCGATAAGCTAAAATTATATACCAAGTAGCATTTGCTCATTTGCTGATTAATATAATCTCTCAGGTTAGTACCAGAATTTTTTCTGAGAGAAACTACATAAATTATGGTAGAGTATCTAGAAGAAATAAATCAGATTCTGAAAGGACTTTCTCTATCAAAATTATTAAATCACCATTAGCCCTAGAGAATTGCCTACAGGTACCAAAGAATATTTTCTAAGAAGTGATTGAACTCATTTCCTGTAAGACCTGTATGTTTTCTTTAATAAAGTTAGGTACAGTCCTTAGCTTATGTCATTTCATCTTTTTCTTCCTGCCAGCCTGACACACAATGTTAATGACCAGCTTCACAGAGTTGGTTTAGGAATTGTTAGGCTGGATTCTCTAGGTTATGCGTAGAGCTCTTTA